GTAGCAGAATTACATTTCTTGATTTTGCAGGGTCACAAAACACAAGTGTTTGGTGAGATATGAGTTTGAGTTTCAATGCATAAAACAAAGATGAGTGGCAGAAATAGTTTGAATACTAAGCTTTCAGTGTTTGATGGAAATAATTGGAATCAGTGGATCATTCAAATGTGTGTGTTTTTAGGTGCTCAAGATGTTCTTGATCTTGTTACTGAAGGTTATGTTCGGTTGCAGAAAATGAGATAAAGGAATAGAGAAATGTGCAGAGAGATAAAAGAAAGAAAGATCAGAAAGTGTTGTTCTACATCCATCAGTGTATGGATGCGAATGTGTTTGAGAAAATCGTTGATTCGACGACAGTGAAGGCTGTGTGAGATATACTGACACGATGCTACGACAATGATGCATCAATGAAGAAGGTGAAACTTTAATCTCTATGTAAGTAGTATGGTAATCTCAATATGAAGAACAATGAGAAGGTACCATATTACATTTCTAGAGTGATTTTGATCACAAATGAGATAAAATCTTGTGGAGAAACCCTTTCTGAACAAGTAATCATTGAGAAGATATTAAGGTCTCTTCCTCCTTAATTTGAGTACATTTTTGTAGCAATCAAACATTCTAAAGATCTGAGCACCATGAGAACTGAAGAGCTATAAACCATCCTAGAGGCACATGAGTTGCATATGACTGAGAGAACTTCTGAAAGAGAGGTTGAGCAGACTCTGAATGATTCTTTTGTCAAGAATGACCAGAAGTATTCTTGGTCAGAAGCCAAGAAGAGACATGGTGATATTTCTCAGAAGTCAGAAGCCTCTAACTCTGATGATAAGAAGTATCAAAATGGAATGGAGAAGTTTGATAAGAAGAAGGTTCAATGTTACTACTGTAAGCAGTTTGGCCACTTTGCTAAAGATTGTTGGTCAAATAAAGGAAGGAAATCAGAAGAAGCAAATATAGATAGAAGAAATTCTGATGATAAACCTGCAATATTAATGGATTTTGAGTATGATGGTAAGTATTTGATAGACTGGTGGTATATGGACAATGACTGCTCAAATCACTTGACTGGAAACAAATAATAGCTGGTTGATTTTGACTCTAGAAGGAGGACAAAGATTAGATGTGATGGTGATAAGTACCTAAATGCATAAGGTATGTGAAATATCAAAGTCAGAGTGAAGAATGGAAGAACTTTTATGATCAAAGTTGTTTGGTATGTTCCTATAATGAAGAGAAATCTGATGAGTGTGGGTCAGCTCATTGAAAAAGTTTCTCAGTTACTATGAAAAACAATCTCTTGAAGTTGTATGACTGCAATCAGAAGTTGATTATGCAATATAAGCAGGGAAACAACAAAACATTCAAGGTGAATGTGAGGACAGTTGAGACTAAATTTCTTAGTGCATAAGGCGTTTGAGGAGATAATGAGTTATGGCACAAGAGATTGAGGCATCTGAACTTTACAAGGTTAGGGCATCTGAGTTCTAAGAAGCTGGTACATAGTATTCTGAAGATTGTGAAGGCCGAGAAGTCATGTGAGGTATGCATGAAAGGCAAGCAATCCAGATTGACATTTGTGTTAGAAGTAGCTCCAAGAGAAAAACATACTTTGGGAGTAGTATATTCTGATGTATGTGGACCATTTCCAAAACCTTCACTTGGAGGAAACACGTATTTTGTGTTGTTTGTGGATGAGTTCACAAGAATGACACGGGTAGCACTCATTAAGTGTAAGAATGAGGTGTTTACCGAGTTTTAGAAGTTCAAGGTGAAGATTGAGAAACAGAGTGGTCAGAAGTTGAAAGTTCTCAGAACTGACAGTAGAGGTGAGTATAACTCTATAGAGTTCAAGAAGTTATGTGAGGGGAATGGAATAGAACACAAGGTTACTTCTTCATACATTCTTTAACACAATGGTCTTCTGAAAGAAGAAATAAAACTTTGCTTGATATGCTAAGGAGAATGCTAAAAGAGAAGAAGTTGCCTCACACTTTGGGGGAGAAGCAACGTATGTGCTCAATAGGTGTCCAACAAAGAAGCTGAAGGAAATTGTTCCTTTGGAGAAGTGGACAGGTGATAAGCAAAGTGTGATTCATTTCAGGGTATTTGGTTCTGTTTTCTATAAACATGTTCCAGGTGCTACTAGAAAGAAGTTGGATGATAAAATCTAAGTGATGTTACTAGCGGGGTACCACAATACATGTGTTTATAAGCTTTATTGTCTAGTCACCAATAAGGTGGAAGTCAGTAGAGACGTCATTGTGAAAGAATCAGAAGCATGACATTGGAGCAAATCTCAATCCAACTATGGTGTAGTATCAACACATGATATAGCTTCTGAAGATGAGTCAGAACTTGTAAGTTCTAAAGACGTGTCAGAGTCAGAAGATGATTCTGAAGGCTCTAAAGATGAGTCAGAATCTGAAGGTGACTCTGATGGCGAATCTGATTCTAATACAGATTCTGACGATGATCCAAAATTTAGTGGTAATCATGCTTCTAGAAAGGAAAACTCTGAATATGTAAGTTTTAGAGGAGAAGCTTCTGGAGGTGATCATGTTTCTAAAGGTGGTATTTTTGAAGGTAGTGGTTTTGGACAAGGTCCAAAAGCTATCACTATTACATGTTTTTTAAAAGGTTTAGGACAAGTGCAAAGACCACAAAGAATCAGATAGTACCAAGAAGGTTTGCAGAGTTTGACATATTGCAAGATACTGAAGTAGATTCTGAGGGAGAAGTAATTTAGTGAGCCATGTTAGTAGATTCTGAACTAGTGGGTATTGAAGAAGCTATCGAGAATAAAGTGTGGATGAAGGCCATGGAAGAATAACTTGAGGCTATAAAAAGAAACAAGACTTAAAAGTTGACTAAGCTTCCAAAGGAGAAGAAAGCCATCGGTGTCAGATGTATTTTCAAGATAAAGTTGAAGCTATATGGATCAATTGGAAAATATAAAGTGAGGTTAGTAACAAGAGGTTTTTTTACAGAAACCCGACTTAGATTACTTTAAAGTGTTTGCGCCTGTAGCTAGGCATGAAATAATCAAAATGGTGATTGTTATAGCTGCAAATAGGAATTGACCTTTGACGCATATGGATGTGAAATATGCATTTATGAATGATCTATTACAAGAAGAGGTATATGTGTCACAATATTTTGGATTTATGAAAAAGAATCAGGAAGTGATGATGTACAAGTTGCATAAAACCTTGTATGGATTGAAGGAAGCGCCCAGGGCTTGGAACTTGAAGATTAATTTATTTTTCAAGAAGCAGGGGTTTCATAAATGTGAGATGGAGTATGGAGTTTATGTGCAACATACTTCTGGAGAAAATATGATTCTGATGTGTCTCTATGTTAATAATATAATGCTAGTAAGCTGTCCAGAAGAGGTAGTCAAGTTTATGAAGGATCTGATCAATGAGTTTGAGATGATTGATCTGAAAAATATGGTATATTTTCTAGGAACGAAGATTCTGCACTCTAGGAAGGGTATTATTTTGCATAAGCTAAAGTATGAACTTAAGCTTCTGAAGAGGTTTGAGCTAACGAATTGCAAGACTGCAATCACACCTGCTGAGACAAATTACAAGCTGGATTCTAATGTTAAAGGTGATGATGTAGATGCTACAACTTTCAAACAGTTGGTTGGCTCATTGAGGTATTTGTGTAACACCAAACCTGACATTGGTTATGCAGTTGGAATGATGCGTATGTTTATGAACAAACCAAAGTGGTCACATTACTAAGTTGCTGTCATGATTCTGAGGTACATTAAAGGGACTCTGAGGTATGAAGTTTTGTTCCCTTCTGATGTTAAAACTGACTTGGAGCTGTATGCTATTTAGACTTTGATCGGCGTGGAGACAAAATTGATAAAAGAAATACTTCTGAATATTTTTTCAAGTATATGGGAAGTCCCATTTCTTGGTGCTTCAAGAAGCAACTTGTGGTTGCATTGTCAACCTGTGAAGCTAAATCCATTGCAGGTGCTTTAGTGCGTGTCAAGCTGTTTGACTGATGAATTTGTTGCAGGATTTGAAGATCAAGGTAAGCAAACCTGTGAAGTTGATGATTGACAACAAATCAGCTATAAGCCTTGTCAAGAATTCGGTGCTGCATGGGAGAAACATGCACATTGACACAAAGTTTCATTTTATGAGAATTCAAGTCCATAATGAAGTGTTAGAAGTTGCACACCGTAACACCCAGAAGCAACTTGCAGATGTTCTGACGAAGGCTGTCAAGACTGAACACTTTATCCGTTTGAGGGATGAAATTGGTGTTGTAGAATTTAGTTAGCTGAATATGAATTAAGGGATGATGTTATAAGTAATTCATATTCAAAAATATTGATATTAGTCAGAAGTATAAACTTATGAATTTGCGTCCCAAAAATATATTTAGCTTCTGAGGTCCTTGTTTATTTTGTTAACTTAACATTAAATTTACTTTTGCTAATGCCTATGTGGCATTTTATTTTGTGTATATAAATAACTTTGTAACTAGGATTTTAGTAAGAATTTAATATAAAATTTATTCCTCATTAAATTTGTTGTAATCATTTTTCTCTCTCTCTTTCTTCTTTCATATTCATTTTCATCTTTAATCTTTGTGCAAAAGCAATTATTACTATTGTAATTGCATAATGTATGAATGATAAAGAAGTATGGTTGTATATGTTGTTCTTGTTGTCCTACATGTATATTTTATGCAATCCATGTTTTATTGAGGTTTGGGGGTGTAAAAATGATGAGAAATTGCCTAAATTGAAGCAAAACCTGAGGCATGTAACTTGACACTATCTTAAAGAAAAGAAAGCCCAAATGGGCTGACAAGGCCCACGTTGAGATGTCTGTCTGTGTTTCCTTCCACACCGAAGAACGAAGCTTCGTCTTGAATGAACAATCCCAAGATCCATTTCACCACAACAACACCAAATCAAACTCATCTTCTTCATTTCATTCCACAAATCACAACAACAATCACACAGAACCATGAACAACGAAATCGAATTGGTTCAACTTTGCATAAACGCAGCTTGCAAAACCAAACAAACCGTTGACAAATGGCGCTTACAGAGACGCTCTCTCGATCGCATACCTTCTCATCTCGCCGACGCTCTCCTCCGCCGCCTCATCACTCGCCGCCTCCTCCACCCCTCCCTCCTCGAGTAACTCATACTTTCAATTCAATTCATTTCTTCAATGCTAATAACTATAATAATAATAATGATGATGATGATACGTTTTCTGGTTTTGGTTAGGGTTTTCAAACACAGTGCGGAAGAGATTGATTTGAGAGGCGAAAACGCCGTTGATGCAGAATGGATGGCCTATTTAGGAGCATTTCGTCATTTGCGCTATTTAAATATTGCAGAATGTCACCGAGTCAATTCTTCAGCTCTTTGGCCTACTGCAGGTAACACCATAGTAGACTCATGAAAATAAGTTGGATCTGTTCTTAGAGTTATGTTTTACTCATTTTGATTTGTGTTGTGTGTGGTGATTGATGATTTTGTCTTAATTGGTTTTAGGAATGAATAGTCTTAAAGAGTTGGATCTATCTAGATGCGCGAAAATTAATGATTCTGGAATTAATCATATACTTTCCATTTCTAATTTGGAAAAGTTGCACATTTCGAAAACTGGTGTTACTGCCAAAGGAATTAAGCTACTTGCTTCGCTAAAAAACTTGTCTCTTCTTGATTTGGGTGGTTTGCCGGTGGATGATGCGTGTTTAGCTTCGTTACAGGTATTTCTTTTTAGGTTGAAATTTTTGTTAGTATACTTACTATGCATAGCCGATCTCGAAGAAGGTTGTGTTAGGTAGTCGACAATAATTGTAAAACTTTGTCGAATCTCTGACATGGATCAACTTGTCAATTAATTAAAGTACATTCCACTTGACAACTCCTCACTAGGAAATTTTTGTGCTAGACTTCTCCTCCATCAAATTTTTGGTTAAATTAATTGTATGCTTGTCAATAAATGAAAGTACATTCCACTTGATTTGTGGACGTAAATGTTTTTTTAAATTTGTCATGCAAGATGAACAATTCTCGTGTTGACTGGATAAATTCAGTTTCTGGATAATAGAGAATATGACGAGTCTTACTTCACATTAATAGCTTAGATTTAATTTTTCAATGATATCTTAGGATATGAAAGATCAGCAAGTTTTGCACTAAATTTCCATTGGTGGAAGTTGGCCTTTGAAATATCCTAAGTCTCGTTTTGCACTAAACTTCCACTAGTGGAGGTTTGCCTTTGAAATACCCTGAGCTTTATTAGAATAAGTAAGGCCAGTTTTAATTTAATAGAATAAGAAAAGTCATCCTTAAATGTAGAACTTAAATGTTCAACTTTTCTTGTATAAATAGAGCATCATGCTCCATTCCAAAAATCAATCAAAAATAGTTTCACATTATATAAATTTCTGAAGCTATTATGGTATCAGAGTTTTTTTCGCCACCAACGTGGCTTCATAGATCTTTTTTTCCCATAGATCCTACATTTTCGTCAGTGCTACAAACTCGTCGTATTTCTCTAATGGCGAGTTCGTCATCACTAACACTCTCATCTACGACATCAAGTATTCCTTTCGCTACTTTCAACTACAAATTTTCAGAAAAATTAGATGATAAGAACTATCTAGTGTGGGTGCAACAGGTTGAATCGGTGCTCCGAACGCACCGTCTTCATCATTATTGTGTTGCTCTGCGAATTCCTGACCAGTTCTTATCTGAAGCAGATCGTCTTGCTGGTAATGTGAATCCTGCATTCACTGTGTGGGAAGTGCAAGATCAATTAATCCTTTTGTGGCTTCAATCGTCACTTTCTGCATCGTTTCTCCCTAGCGTCATTGGCTGCCGTCACACGTGGCAACTTTGGGATCGGATTCACCAGAATTTCCATTCTAAAGTCAAGGCACAAGCACGACAGCTGAGAACTGAGTTGCAGTTTCAGATTCTCTAATGTCTATCGGTGAAACAGTTTCTACGACTGAGCAATTGGATTTTATTCTCGAAGGATTACCTTCAGAATATGAATCTCTAGTTACTCTTATTAACAGTAAGGTTGATTGGTTTGATTTTGATGAGATCAAACCATTATTACTTGCGCATGAACAACGCGTCATCAAACAGAAAATTGTAGAAGTTGCTTCGTTGAATGTAACTCAATAGCATCTTCGAGCAACCAGAATGTCACTCTTCAAGCAAACTACACTGCTGACACTCAGTCAAATGACAACTCTAAGTCTGAAAATGCTAATTCTGGACGTAGTTTTTATGGTGGTCGTGGTGGTCGTGGCAACGGCCGTTTCAGTCGTGGTCGTGGCCGTGGTGGCCGTGGCAGCGGCCGTTTCAGTCGTGGTCGTGGCCGTGGCTTTAGTCGTGGGAATATTCAGTGCCAAGTCTGCTACATGTATGGTCATGATGCATCCATTTGTTACCATCGTTTTTGTTCTGGACTGGGCCCGACAGGCCCAAAAGCATTACTAAGGCCCAGTCCAAAGGGACTCACTAAGGACCACACTGTGCAAAGGGGATCGCGTCCATGCCCGACACCCTAATGTCCACCTCGACATCTCGATGTCCAGCCCCACGCGGTGAAGTCATGCTCGACACCCTGCCGTCCGGCTCTGTGTCCTGACATCCAGCTCGACACTCGCTGTTCAGCTCGAGGTCTTGGCGTCGAGCTCGGCACCGTGCTGCGCAGCTCGACATGGTCTCGAGCTACCTGGCTAGGGCAGACTCAGTCCACCGTTGCCCCAACGATACTCCGGAAAGACCGCGTCTCCGTCCGCCCGCACTTCACGCAGCACATCCAGGAAGGGGACCACGTGCTGGTCCCCACTACCCACGTAGAACCTGGCAGTTCCTCCATTGGGCCAAATCCGCCCGGCCCAATGAAGGAACCTTGGCCCAGCGCTGGGGGCTATAAATACCCTCTGTTTCCAGAGGGTCAGGTATTCATCATTCTAACCTCAACTCTATTATCTGCTCGTACTCCCACTGACTTAAGCATCGGAGTGCCTTGCAGGTACCCCTCCCTCCTCGTTCAAAAAGCCTTCAGCTCGGAGCAAGCCGTGACGGTCCAAACCTTCTGATCAGGTCAGATCAGTGGCGCCGTCTGTGGGAAACAGCTTCCCCGTCTAACGAACAATTCCAAAGACCAAAGCTCAATCCAATTAACTGTCATGGCTGATCCAGCTCGTGAAGAACAGCACACCCGCGTCACCGACACCAACAACGGTCCCGCGGACAAGAATGGACACCTGGACAATCCCAGTGATGCCGGCCACAATGCCGTCCCCGTGACAACCGCCCCTGGACCTTCCACCCGCAGGGACGGGAACACTGCGTCGTCCTCGACACCTCCTCCAAGACTCGAAGACGACCCGGAAGCCCTCGCCTACCGCAAAGCTGCCCGGTTCTATGAAGTCCAAGTTCCTGCTGGGGCAGATGCCACGACTCAGGCACTGTTCGCGGCCATCAACCAAACAAATTATCTCCTATTCGCCCAAGGAGAAAAACTAAGGGCACTTGAAAATGATCGACGCCCCCCGAGGAGACATCAAAGGCCACCATCTCCACCTCCTCGGGTCGAAGAAGTTCGACACCCTACTCCCCCGCGGAGACATTACAGGGAGAACTCTAGGAGCCCCTCTCCCCCACCAAGGCAGAGGCGGCCCCAATATGAAATACAGCCCGTCATCCCTACCGAAGAGCCCGGTCGCGACCCATCAAGGCACGACAGGAGGAACAACAGAGACGGGCGTGTGACCTTCAACCACCGAGCATCACGCTCGAGGGAATCTCAGCACGACCAGCGTGCCAGACATAACTACAGGACCCCTTCTCTTTCTCCAGAAAGGAGCGACGAGGACGACCCCCGCGGTCCCCTGTCGCAGGCCATCATGGAATCACCTATTCCCCCGGGCATGGAGAAGCCCCCACATCTGAAGGAGTATGATGGAGTAGCGGACCCAGTCGACCACATCGACGGGTTCGAAGCCATGCTCCACTACCATAATGTCGGGGGGCCCATCAAGTGCCGTCTCTTCCCCACAACTCTCAGGAAGGCGGCCATGGACTGGTATAAAGGACTCGCCCCGGGCTCCATTACCTCGTGGCGGAACCTGAAGAACCAGTTCATCAGTTCCTTCACAGCTTCCCGTCGCCACCCGAAGACTGAGGCAGCCCTCGAGGCCATCATTCAAAGACATGATGAGACCTTGAGGGAATTCATCAACCGCTTCAACCGGGAAGCAATACAGGTCCCCTGCGCGGACCATATGAAAAGGTACTTGCTGGAGAGGGGCCTCCTCCCCGGCACAGAATTCAGGAAAGCTGTGGGCATTGAGCCACCTGCAACTTTTGATGCTCTCCTCGACAAAGCCCGAGCATACATGGATTACGAGGAGAGAGAAGCTGCCAACAGGGCACGAGACTCCAGGGCTCGCAATCATGGCAGCAGCTCGAGACAAGACCCTCCTCCCCGACGCACCGGAGAGAAGAGGAAGGAAGATCGACCCCGGGAGGTCCGAGAACAAAGGGGCCCCTCGGGCCGTTTCACCGAGTACACTCCGCTCACGGCTTCCCGCGAGCGTATTCTGGCGGAGTGTGCTAGTACAGATTTTAAAGACGGTGGCGTCAAGCGTCCCCGGCCAGCTCCTGCCAAGCCAGGAGTAGACAAAAACAAGTACTGTCAGTACCATAGGAGTCATGGTCACTTGACAGAGGACTGCGTCCACCTGAAGGACGCCATTGAAACCCTCATCAAAGGGGGGAGACTTGCACAGTACAGGCGAAACGACGCTCCCCGTCGTGAAGCCCGCGAGGCAAAGGAGCCCGAAGAAGATGCCCGACCATCTGACGAGTCGGTGCCAATCCAGACCGCCTTCTCGGTAACCAGGCCCGAGGATTTCGAACTTCCCGAGCTCCTGCAGGAACCCCTGACGACACACAGCAGGTGGGAATACTTCCCCTCCGCCATGGTCATCAACGGGGGCGGGTTCAACGACCTCACCATCAACTCAGCCAAGAGGAAGTTGGACGAACTGGTCGACAAAGCTCCTCCACAAACTGTGACTTTCGAAATGGTGAGGGGCAGATCAGAGCCTATCACCTTCTACTTGGAAGAGCTCCCCGGCGGAGCACCGAACGCAGTCATCCCCTTGCTGATAAGGGCAAAGATGGCCAATTTTGACGTACATCGCATCCTGGTCGACGAAGGGAGTTCCGTCGACGTGATGTACACCCAGCTGTTCCGGACCTTACAACTGGACGACTCACATCTGTCTCCGTATATAGGTTCGGACCTCCAAGGCTTCAACGGCTCGACTTCCAAACCTTGGGGATATGTCGAGCTCCTCGTGACGTTCGGGGAAGGAACTGCTACAAGACAGGTGAAGGTCCGCTTCCTCGTCATTGACTGCCCGTCCCTATACAATTGCATCTTGGGGAGGCCGACATTGGCGGAGCTGACAGCGGTCCCCTCAACTGTCCATCTAAAAATGAAGTTCTACACCAAACGGGCAAGGGTAGCCACCATCCAGGGCGACCTCGCTGCTGCCCGCAGGTGCTTCAACGCCGCTTCAAGAGGACGGGATACTGTCGACGTGGGTCCCAGCACTAGACCCATCAAGAAGACAAAGCAAGAGCCCGACAGAGCATCCCCCGAGGTAGAAGTTCAGAAGGCTCCACCAAAGGTCGACTCCATTGCCCTCGACGCCCGCTTCGATCAAGA